TTGCCAGGCAGCCAGGCTGGGAGTCCCCTAAACACCAGCTCTAGCAAAAGCACCTCACTGACAAGGACTTGCCTGAAGAAGCCCTGGCAGGGTTGTGGCAAGCCCAGTAAGGACAGAGAATAAAAGACCGCCTAAGAGACAGGCTGCTGCACAATGCACAGGTTAGGACCTGACTCCAGCATCCTGCCTGGGGTTGAAACCACTCCCCCACTAAATAGCTGAGCGACTCTGGCCAAGTTACTTAGCCTCTCTGTGCCTCAGTTTACTCACTGCAAATAAGGGCTAGTAATAGAACCTACCACTCAAGGCTTCAGTGATACTTTAGAGTGAAAATTTCATAGAAAATACAGGCCTGCCTCCTAATAAATGCTAGATACATGCTAATTATTATTATTACTCTAAGATGGAGGTGGTCATCAGAATTTTCGACTATTGATTTTGGACAACTGATTGTTCTAAATATGCAAACCTCTGTTCCCCACTTCCCACTCTGGCAGAGAGCTCCTAATTCAGGCAATGGTGAAAGGTTTGCATACGGGCAGGCAAGTGCCTGTGAAACAATCCCTGGGGAGTTCTGATTTGCACACCTCCCTCTGCCCTTATCTCCAATTTTTATACAAGTTATTTGCATTCATAGCTAAATAAAGCAATTATATTGATGCCCCATGAAGGGCTTCAAACTATAATTATATAACATCATGTGCTATGAGCAACTTTTGAAAAGAAAAATGGATGTTAGAATACAAAACAGAAAGTCACAGAAAGGGGAAAGAAAAGACACCCACCTATTAGAAGAGAAAAACTGGAAGTTATAAGGCTCAAAGGCAGAATACGTGCTCGAAGGGACACAATCGGGGGAAGTGTTAGAGGAAGTTTTGAAAACCCCACTTACGATGCTGCATGGAAAGACTGCAAAGCACTTCTCTGTGTCCTGCAGGTCAAAAAGGCTTCATGCCAAGTGAGTGAGTGCGAGATGTATAGATACGGACAGGTCATACGTACTTTGAAACACTTTACATTTAAAAATCCATTATTATAACAAAAGATCTCCTTAATTAAAATGGAGGACACTTACCTTCCACATCTCATCTAAATACTGGCCATTATTTAGTCAGTGGTGAGGATGTTAGTCTATGCCAC